AGGCTGAGGGTTCCCCCTCCTCAAAACCACCAGGAGTTGTTTGTGGGCTCCTGTTCTCAGGGCAAGGGGGATTTTGGCTCCTGTCCCCAGAGTGAAGGGTATTCTGGACCGAATCTTTGGGGAATTTTGGGTGAAGGGCTCATCTCCCCAAGGCTGAGGGTTCCCCCTCCCTGCAGCCACCAGGAGCGATCCTGTCCCCAGGGCAAGGGGGATTTTGGCTCCTGTCCCCAGAATGAGGGGGATTCTGGACCGAAATCTTCAGGGAATTTTGGGTGAAGGGCTCATCTCCCCAAGGCTAAAGGCTCCCCCTCTCCACAGCCACCCTGTCCCCAGGGCAAGGGGCTTTTTGGCTCCTGTCCCCAGAATGAGGAGGATTTTGGACCAAAAACTTGGAGGGATTTTGAGTGAAGGCTCCCCCACCCCACAGCCACCAGGAGCTGCTTGTGAGCTCCTGTCCCCAGGTTTAGGGGGGTTCTGGACCGAAATCTTTGGGGAATTTTGGGTGAAGGGCTCATCTCCCCGAGGCTAAAGGCTCCCCCTATCCACAGCCACCAGGAGCGATCCTGTCCCCAGGGCAAGGGGGATTTTAGCTCCTGTCCCCAGAATGAGGGGGATTCTGGACCGAAATCTTCGGGGAATTTTGGGTGAACGGATCATCTCCCCGAGGCTGAAGGCTCCCCCTCCCCACAGCCACCAGGAGCTGCTTGTGAGCTCCTGTCCCCAGGTTTAGCGGGGTTCTGGGCCAAAATCTTTGGGGAATTTTGGGTGATGGACTCATCTCCCCGAGGCTGAGTGTTCCCCCTCCCCTCAGCCACCAGGAGCGATCCTGTCCCCAGGTTTAGGGGGGTTCTGGACCGAAATCTTTGGGGAATTTTGGGTGAAGGGCTCATCTCCCCGAGGCTGAGGGTTCCCTCTCTCCACAGCCACCCCGTGCACGTGAAGGAGGAGCCGGCCGAGGCGGAGGACGACAGCAGGCCCGTGTCGCTGATGGCCGCCACCAACCAGAATGTGACGATCCCCGACGACAGGGACCTGGAGGAGGAGCTGCCGGTGGAGGACTTGTCCTAAGGACTCCTTCCTCGTCCCCCAGCCCGGGGCCGGCCCTGCCCGCCCTCCCGGACCGGACGGAGACCGAGCCACGCTCCCACCTCCCCACGGTGACCTTCGGCGTCACCCTCATCTTTCAAGGCACTTCCACAAAGCGAAAAGGGTTTCTTGGGACGACGATGACGATGAYGGTGACACCGCCACCGACCCACGTTGCTGCTGGCGTGTCCCTCACGCTGCCACTGCCCGGGGACGCACCGGCCCCGCCACCACGCCAGGAGCCAAACGCCACGAGCCGGACTTGTCCTGCCCTCCTCCCTCGGTTAGTGACCGGTGGATGAGGATGKTAGGTGGCTCCTGTCCGGAATGGTCACTCCTCCGTCCCTTCTTGA